ATGAATACTAGAGTCAACTGGACTAAATCCGTCCCCTGAATTTGAGCCCTATGCTGTGCCCCAGCTCATCAATACCACTTCAGCCCCCTTTCTTGCACCTGTCCACTCTTCCCACCCCTACCTCCTGGGCCTTGGAGGGCCACCACTCTCCAGCACTCCATGAGCTAGAGCCTCCATGTCTTCATGTCCATGAGCCTCCTCTCTGACATCTGTCACCTGCACACCTCCTTTCCAACCTCACAGTAGGCAAGCATGCTCCCAGCACTTCTGAAACCTTACACGCTCCACATCAAAGAACTGAGGACCCACTCATTCAAATAATCACAGAGCGACTGATGGTCACTTGGGTACCATCCTAGGTACTTGGGGGTAGGAGAGTAATGAAAGACAGAAGAGAAAAAGTACCCATCCTTACAGACCTCTCAATGTAGTCAGGTAGACGGACAGATGGATAAAATACACACAGTGTCAAAAGAGAAGTGCCATGGAGGGAAGGCTAAGGCAGATGGGGAGTGTTAGCATCTTTTAAGTCAGCAGTCAGGGAAGGTGCCTGAGAAGAAGTTTGAGCAAAGACCTAAAGGCAGGCAAAGAGCTAGCCCTGTACGTGTTGAGGGCAGAGCATTCCAGGCAGAAGAAACAGCAAGTGCCATGGCCTGAGGCCACATGTGGCTATGGTCCTAGCGACGGGCCAAAGGGCAGTGGGAATGGAGAGTGGGCAAACGTGGGTGAAGCACAAAGTGCTCCCAGCATAATTATGAGGGCCTCTCAAATCAGGGAGGGACCTGGTGGCCTCCTAGGAGTGAGGTCCAAGCAGAGAGCTGAGCGAGAGGTAAGAAAAGCCAACTGTGCCCACATATATATGGGGGGCGGGTGGCAAGCACCAATCACGCAAATGCCCAGGGGAAAAGCGTGGCAGCAAGAGATGGGCTGAAGTTCAAAGAAGTGCAGTGAGAGCTGGGAAGCCAGGGAGACACTGGCCTCGAACCCCGAAGGGCAATGGAGATCCCTGAAAAGTGGGGCCTCACATAATCACGTGTGCACTTTCCACAGTCCAGGAAGGGTGTAGACAACTGACTGAAGGTGGTAAAGCTGGAATCAGAAACACACTTTCTGATCTGCTGGCCTCCAGAATACAGCAGCAGAAACACACAAATCATTAACGGAAACATGAAGACGCTGATGATATATCTTTAACAGCGTAACAAACAACTTACACCATCAACTCTTTCAACGACAACCCAGTCAGCTTAAACACTGAGGTCCCAACTCCTTCCAGGAATAAACCGTGGTCCCCTATACACCTGCTAGGGAACTCTCACTGCTGAGGGCTTTGAGCTAGAGGCCAACACTCAGCTTAACCAAGACTTTGCAACGTCTATGCCTCTATGTTCTGTTGAAACCATTTAAATATTACAGAAATAAATGCTTTGAAAACTCTTATGTGGCCACTTGCTTTTTGGAAGGCAGACTCAAGGACAAAACTACTTTGTGGTCTGTCTTCATTTTTTACCTAGCAATCCAAATTTCATCAAATCAATCAACTCCTTCAGAAGCTATACTGCAACCAATAGACAAATGAGAGATGCAGACAAGTCCCTGGGGTAACCAACTTAAGTTTTTCTCCCCAGAGAGCTTAGTATGAATAACCATTCCTGGAAAAGAAATAAACAAATCATATAGAGGGCGCCTGGGTGGCTCAGTAGATTATTCGTGGGACTCTAAATTTCGACTTAGGTCGTGATCTCACAGTCCTGAGTCTGAGCCCTGCATCTGGCTCAGCATGGAGCCTGCTTGGGATTCTCTCTCTCTCCCTCTCTGCCCCTCCCCCACATGCTCATTCTCAAAATTAAAATCATATAAAGACAGTGTGTAAAGTAAGAGCCTAGCCCTCCTTCCACTCACCTCTTCTTTTGTATTTTGTACACTTTACAGTCTTCTTACCGTGCCCAGGGATACAGAGAGGTGGGTACAGTGGAAACATCACTGCCGGCTTCATCATGGTGGTAGGTACAGGTCTATTATTCATTATACTTATATGCTTGCAACCTTTCAATTTTTATTCAACATCTGAGTTAGCGATGATGAAAAAAGCAAAAGGAAACAGACTGCCTGGCAAAGGTGGTCTTGGCTCCCTGACTGAAGCAGGGTGATCTCAGGCCAGCCCCTTATTTTCCACACTCAGCTTCTTCCAGAGGATCCCTTCCTGCTCCAGCGTGACTTACAGAAAATAGAGGCAAAGAGGCCAGACGTTGACATTAAAATGGGTTGTTTGTTTATCTTAAGTCATGTGCCCATTTATTCAGCATTTACTGAGTTCTTGCCGTGAGCAGGCACCAGCAGAGCGGGGCTGCCCAAGGCCATGAGAGTCCTATCTTCAAGAGCTAAGCCAACAGAGGAAAAAGGTCATCACAGACGGCCGTTAGAAGGCTGGGTTCCCTGCGCTCCAAGGAGGAGGACAGGCAGCACTCCTGGCCTAACAGTCGTCCGTGCAAAGGCCTGGAGTCAGGGCAGGGCGCCACGTATTTGGGGGAAAAAGATGAAGATACACTTACCGGAGTCCAGCAAAAAAGAAGAGCAACGCTCAGGCAACGGAGACGCTTACCCTACACACCGCATGCGTTCTACACATTCTGTCGCCAGGCCAGAACGGCAACAGAAGCGTGTGTCAGAACAGGGGAGCGTAAAGCTTAAATCTTCAGTTCCTGCTGACTAATTAAAGTGTTTGCTCATTTGTCCAGATTAAAAAGGGCAGGACAGGGGCGCCTGGGTGGCTTAGTTGGTTAAGTGTCCAACCTCGGCTCAGGTCATGATCTCACAGTTTGTGAGTTCAAGCCCCGTGTCAGGCTCTGTGCTGACAGCTCAGAGCCTGGAGCTGCTTCAGATTCTGTGTCTCCCTCTCTCTGCCCCACCCCCACTCGTGCTCTGTCTCTGTCTCAAAAATAAATTTTAAAAAAAATGTTTAAAAGTAAATAAAATAAAAAGGGCAGAACAAAGTAAATTTAGATGATAAACTTCAGTATCATCTTAGCGCATCCTCTTATATGGGCTTGGTGACAAAAAGACCCTCTGTCTCATGAAGCACCTTTTATGGGTGTTTTCCATCATCTGCCAGCACTTCTCACTAAATCTCTCCCACCTACTTTATATTCCAGCGACAAACCATAAAAAGGAAGTAACTAATTAGCTGACATTCTGCCTTAGGACTAAACTTTTCAAAGTTGGGACTACTTGTAGGAGGAACGGACATCCAAACAGGTGCAAGGCTACTCCTTAACTGAAGCCACGGAGTCTCTAACTCCTGCAATTCCTCACTGGGCTCCTCACGGTAAAGCAGGTACTTACTGTTTTCAGGGCTCCACATGAATCACCTGCGTAAAAACCCTAAGCCTCACTGCCACACCTGGTGGCCTGTTTATTGTTTCTCTCTGTGCTTCCACAAATTGCAGGTCGGTTTATGTTACATAAAAATAAATTCTCTCTCGTTCTTCAAACTTCAGCTACTTATCTGAAACTCTCACACTAGAAGTTTACAGCTGGAGTCAGAGGCCAGTCTAATCGGCAGCCCTGCAGTTGGGAGGGAGGATTTTGTACTGAAGAGATCAGAGCTCTCCACAAAAGTTTTCACCAACTCACCCCCATGCAGCACGCCCTCTCTTACCAACCAGCAACCCAAAACCGAAGGCTGCCGGGCGTTTGAGAAAATGCAAGAAAAGGAAATGACTCAAAGTAATGGTGCTTAAGGCATGAGTCCTCTTCACTTCCAGTCAGTAGTTTAGATTTGAACTATGGACGGTTGTGCGGTAAGCGCACACAAGGAAAGGGTTGTGCGCACAGGGCTGGTTTCCTTCGTCTTGCTGTTTGCACTTACACTCAGTAATTGTTCTCCTCTCATTTACACAGGTAACAAGGGCATTTAAAACACTTGGAAGAAGAAAAGTTAAGGTCCTAGCTGCGTGAATGGGATGGCTGCTCACTTAACATCCTGACAACCTCATTTAAAATACACAAAACACAATGTAACCTGTGCGCGAGGCCCCTACGTGAGCTCTTCAAGTTGTTCAGCAATCAAGGAAGCTCGGGGTTTAACTCATTTAAAAGTCAAGGCCCTGAAAATCTGAGCGTGGGTTGTCAGCGCCCCAGCCGCGCGCTCACGCCCTAGCACGGCGGCGTGCTCCTCGCAGGCTCCACTCGCTCACACTCGCTCACACTCACGCTCGCACCCCGGGGCCCCCGCTCTGCACAAGCGCACAGCGGCGGAAGGGCAGCTGCGATTCGAAGTTTCCACCTGGATGTCAAACCTGGGGCGGCTCCGGCCCGGGCACAGCGGCGGGAGCGAGGACGGCCGCCGCGGGCCCGCGACCTTTCCACCCAAACTCAACACCAGCATTTTTTAAATGCCGAGATTTTCAACCGCCCTTCTCGCGAGTGGGGCCGCGGCGGCCGTGCGCACGGTCAGCGGCCGGGCTTCCGCGCGCCCCGAGGGCCCCGGGGGCTCCCCGTCCGCGCCGGCGGGGGGGGGGGGGGGGCCGGGGCGGCGCGCGCCGACAGCCCCGGGCGGGGTCCCCGCGCCTCCACCTGCCAAGGCCGGGCCCGGCTCCGGGGCGCCCGCGCTGACCAACGGCCGGCGCCCGCGAGTGTCACCCGCGGACCGTCCGCAGACAAAAAGCGCCTCCCCGCCCGCCCGGCGCGCCCCTCCCACCGCCGGCCCCGGCCCCGGCCCGCGCCTCACAAAGGCCGGCCCGGCCCGCTCGGCGCCGCCGCGAACAAAGGCCGCCCGGCCCGCAGGCCGGCACAGGTGCAGCCGCCGGCGGCCGGGCCCAACATGGCCGCGGCCGCCCTCCGCCCGGCCCCGTTAGCCGCGGCCACCCCCGCCCCGCCGGCCCGCCCGCCGCTCCCGGCCCCTCAGCCCCGGCCCGCGGCCCCCGCGGCCCCCGCGCCCCTCAGCCGCTCGGGCCCGCGGCGGCGGCGGCGGCGGCGGTTGGGCCGGCGGCTCCAGTGACCTGTTGTGCGTCGCATCCTCCGGCGGCGGCGGCTCTCCCGGCGCGGCGGCTCCGGCGGCGGCGGCGGCGGCGGCAGGCCGGGGAGGGGGCCGGGGCCGCGGGGGAGGGAGGGCCGAGGGAGGGGAGGGGGCGGCGGCGGCGGCGGCGGGCGCAGCGCGGCCAGGCCGAGGCTCTCCGCGCGCGGCGCCGACCCCGCCCCCGCGCCTCCCGCCCGCCGCCGCCGCCGCCGGGCCGCCGCCGCCTCGCAGAAGCCGCGGGAAAGTGCGCGCCGCTGATTGGCTGCCGCGCTCGCGGGGCTGCGGCCGGACTTTTCAAATCCGCGCCGGGCGGGGCGCGCGGGCGGGCGGGGACCCGGCGGGGGTAGGGGACAGAGGGAGGCGCGCGGGGCGGGGACCGGGACAGGGTGGGGTGGGGCGCGCGGGGGGCCGGGGCCGCGGGACGCCGCGACCCGCCTCAGAGGAGCGCAGAGCGCGCGCCCCGCTCCCGCTACTCGGCCGGGGCCGCGGGACCCCGCGACCCGCCTCAGAGGAGCGCAGAGCGCGCGCCCCGCTCCCGCTACTCGGCCGGGCGCGCGCCAGGCGGCGGCGAAATCCAAAGCCCGGAGCCGGGAGCCGGGAGCCGGCGGCGGGAGCCAGCGGCCTCCAGGTGACGTCACGGCCGCGCGCCCAATCGCGGCCCGCGAGCTGGCCCCGCGCGATCGCGGCCGCTGCCGGGGGCGCGCGGCGGGGACGTCCGGCGGCCGCGCGCGTCCGGCTCTCGCGACGCGGCCCTCGCCCGCCCGGCTCGCAGGTGGCCACCCACGCTCCTACCGCGGGCAGGAAGACGGCGCCCGCACGCGGAGCGCGGGAGATCGGGCGGAGGCGGAGGTCAAGTTCCCGCTGCCGGTCCGCACACGCCCGCGCTCCCGGAGCCTACGCTGCAGACTCCACATCGATGGCCCCAAACAACGGGCGGGAGCGTGGAAGGCCGGCCGGAGGACGGGCCGGCTCGCACTGTACCTCAGGGCGGGGGTTCCGCCGTCCTCCACCCCCGCCCGGTCTCCCGTCCGACCTGGAACTGGGCGGAGTGGGCGATCTGCGGTCAGAGTCGGGGCTCGGTCACTGGAACTGCTGGGCGACGTGCCATGGCAGAGGGGCAGAGGGGCAGGGCGGCTCGGGAGTGCCAGCCCGCGGTCAGGGCACGGCTTTGAGAAGCACCACTCCGGCTGTGGTAAGGACAGAGGGCTGGTGTGGTGGACACGGAGATGAGCCACTCGGGCGCCATCCAGCAGGGTCGTCTGCTCAGCCTCCAGCCGCCGCCTTCTGCAGTGTTGGCCGCAGCTGCAAAGAGCCGTCTCACCGCGGGTCTCCTCTCGCTGGGCAACGGCGTCCCGTGTGGCTGGGGGCACGGGGGGTGCTAAATCGGTCGTTCCGTTCCGCCCGTGTAGGACGCTGGTAGGAAATTGGACGTTAGACGTTGGCACTTCAGACTCCCCAACTTGACCGGCTACAGGCTGCTTCCCACCAGAGCTGGGACTGACTGGCCCAGGGCAAGCCAGGGCAGGGGGAGACCCTCCCCAGTGTCTCACGTGGGGGAGAGGAATTACGGAATTGCACACACTTTCAGCCGCGAGCCATTCATGAGGTCCTGATGTGTGCTGTGCCCTCACAGGACAGGGCGCTGGGGATGCTGAGCTACCTGAAGAGACCCTTTCCCCGGCGGTCACTGCCAGATTCCACGGAGCTCCTGGAAAGGCATCCCGCTGGGCCGGGGCGCATCCACACTGGCGTTTAACCGCGTTATCCATCTGGCTGTGGGGAGAAGAGGTGTCCTGGTCCTCTGGGGGCCCAGGACCCCTCTGGGATACAGACCTGACAACGGTCTTATAATCTTGGAGTACAAGACAAATACCACCATGTCTCCTTTGATTTCACAGATTTGGAATTAAAGCTCCTCTTCTGAAAAAAAAATTGCATTTAGAATAGTGTGATCAATATGCAAATTTATTCAAAACATGCAAGTGTGTTTAGATTTTCTTGAAGAAAGTGATTTGGGGCTGGCTGGTCTTTTCCCGCCCAGTGCAGGCCGCCCGGGGCCCAGCCTGGATGTCTCATGAAGTCCTGAGCCCTTTCCAGCAAGCCTGGCCAGCAGGACAGCCCCCCCAGCCTGCATGCTTCAGGGGCCTCGCCTGTGGACACCGTATTTCCGATGACTGAGTCTCCCTCAAGGTGAAAAAGAGGCCCTCAGAAGACTAAGGACACCCCCCACGCACAGGGCGACTGTTGGGTGAAGAGGCCTTCAGGTGCGTGTACACCTCTGCCCCCAAAACATGCTCACGTGTGAGGCTATCGCAGGTGGGTGGTCGTCCCTGGGGCAGCTCTTGCAGTGCTTGGAAATTCTGAGAGTCTGGGTAGTTCCCTGCAGGACAGGCTGGAGGAAACATGGAAAACAGGCCCCAGGCATGTGCGTGAGGGCCATGAGAGGCAAAGCCCCAAGCCCCGGGGGTGCCCAGAGGGATCCTGGACACACAGGGATGGCGGCAGCTGGCGCTGAGTCTCCTTGGGACTCCTGTCATTTCTCTGGACAAAAACTCCGTACTCAGAGGCAGGCACTTAACAGATGATGGCGCGCTGCCCTCCATCTCAGCTCCCACCCTCTTAGACTAAGGCCAAGCTGGGCAAGGTCTTTAGGACCCGAGGACTCCAGGCCTGCCTGCTGGCCTCGGGACCTGCCCACAGCAACAGAACAAGGAGTCAAGAGGAGTGGGGCATCCCCTGGCCACGAGGTCTGCAGCTGTGGCCCTTCTGGCTGCCTGCCTTCCACTAACTGCCTACTCCGGGCTTACAGCTCCGGGGGGCACAGTGCAGTCTCCCTTCCTTGCTCTCAGGGCGGCCTTGGCCAAAGCGCTCTCTGCCTCCCTGCTTCTCCTCGTCACAGGTCCTGCGGCTCACGGCCTGACCTCCCCGTAAGAGCTGCTGCCAAACGCAAAACCCAGGCCCCTTAGCCAAAGGAGCCCCATCCCCTGCCAGGGCCAGGGTCCCCGAGGGGCCAGGCTCATTGCTGTTTCCATGGGGATGTGTGCACTCTGACCCCAGCCTTTCTCCATCCCTGGCCAAATAAAGAGGGCTTCCAAGTGGAAACTGGCAGTCTTCAGCCACTCCTCCTCCCGTGGCCCAGGTGGCCCCAGCCTCCAAGGAGGGGGAGCACGACCCAGCCCGGGCAGAGCAGGGATGGGGGCCCTTCCCCACCCCTCCCTCCCACCAGCCCCTCCCCAGCCCTGCCCACTCACTATACTCTCCAGACTGGAAACTTGCCTTTTCCAAGGCCTGGCTCTGCCTGGGCTCCCACCTGGCCCGAGGGCCCCTTCGGTCCGCTGGGACAGCCAGCAGGAGCCAGCAGGCAGCACTGCCGGGCTCCTCAGGGCCCCATTGGCCAACCCTCCATTGCACGGGAGTCCCTGTCAGGCAAGGAAGATCAACATGCAGACTGAAGCCTGGCTGAGGAGCCTCCCGCGCAAGTCCTGGCTAAGAGGCCTGAGCACAAGGCTTCTCCACGCTCTCTGCCCAGCCTCTCTCCTTCCACCTTGGCGCTGACCCCCAAAGCTCCCAGGAGGCCTGTTATCAGAGTCGCAGTGGTCACCTCCAAGAGCAAACCAAAACCCAAGACCAGGGTCCAGTCCTGGAGGCAAACACAGACTCCGGTGCCCCCAAAAGCTGCTTCCTGGAGATTGCACACGAGCTAGCCTAGCACTCCCCCACCCCCCTCAGGGTTTCCACTTCCTAAATCTCCTCTAACCCAGCCTCTCACCAATAGGAGGGAGCCGTCGCCCCCTCCAGTAAACACTCTGCGTTCAACCAGGGCAGTTTTTCTTTTTTTTTTTTTTATGTGTATTTTACTTGAGAGAGAGAGACAGAGACACAGTATGAGCAGGAGAGGGGCAGAGAGAGAGGGAGACAGAATCCAAAGCAGGCTCCAGCCACTGAGCTGTCAGCACAGAGCCTGCCACAGGGCTCGAACCCACAAACCATGAGACTGTGACCTGAGCCGAAATCGGACACTCAACTGAATGAGCCACCCAGGCACCCCTCTATTTTTTTTTTAAGTTTTATTTTTTTTAAAGTTTTATTTTGAGATACAGCACGTGCACAAGTGGGGGAAGGGCAGACAGAGGGAGGGCGAGAACCCCAAGCAGGCTCCCCACTGTCAGCACAGCAAGGGAATTTTTCTAAACCACAAAACTGACCATGTCACCCAACTGTTTAAAATCCTGCTTGACTCCTCACAGCGCCTGGGTGGCTCAGTCAGTTAAGCTCAGGTCAGGGTTGCGTGGTTGGTGAGTTTGACCCCACATCGGGCTCTCTGCTGTCAGTGCAGACCCTGCTTCAGGTCCTCTGTCTCCCTCTCTCTGCCCTCCTCCGCCTTGCATATGCACACTCTCTCAAAAATAAACATTAAAAAAATAAATAAAAGTGGGGCGCCTGGGTAGCTCAGTCAGTTAAGTGTCCAGCTTCGGCTCAGGTCATGATATCACAGTTCATGGGTTTGAGCCCTGCGCCGGACTCTGCTGGCAGCTCAGAGCCTGGAGCGTGTTTCAGCCTCTGTGTCTCCCTCTCTCTCTGCCCCTTCCCTGCTCATGCTGTCTCTCTCTCTCTCAGAAATAAATAAAACATTAAATAGATAAATAGATAAATAAAATTAAAGTCCTGCTATGACTCCTCAGTGTCCCTCACACAAAACCCACTCTTCAGCCAGTGTAGGACTTTCAGAAGTGGGAGGGCTCCGGCTCTGCCTCTCCAGCCCAGCCCTCTCCCCCGAGCCCCTGGTCTGAAGCGGACTCCCTGCTGGATGTCCCCTCTTGGACAGCCACACCCACCCACCGTTGTTGGATGTCAAATTGAACTTCCCCCTGCCGCCATGCCAGAGCTGAGCTGGGATACAAAGCCTTTGACTCCCCCCAGGCCGAGCCGCCCCGGAAGGTGCACGCAGCTCTGTGTTCTCTGCAGGTGGCACTGCCGCCTGGGGCTGGACGGCCAGGCTCCTAGTCCTGGTTGCCCTTGAACAGGGACCTTAGGGCCCCTCTAAAGTGCCACCAAACAACACAAAACTGT